ACTCGTCAAGAGTTTACAGTATACATTGGAATAAGTCACGTCACGGAAAAAACAAATTTTGGTAATAGTTTACAATTCGGTCGGTATCTCCGATTTTCTTCAAACTGTAATATGTTGAAGGGGGCTCTCCAAAAAGACAAAATATCATTTGTAAAAATGTTGCAAACAATTACAAGTCAATACTTAGAAAATTTTTTTTTTATTAAACTAACTCTAATCAACTCTAATCAGTATAACGCTTCGAAAATAAACAATTAAACCTTTTTTTTCTGTTTACAGCTTATGTTCTTTCACTTAATCTCCATTTATAGTGACGTTTAGGTTAGGTTTCGGTTACAAATTTAACTTGAAATTAAAGGTACTTATAACTGTTTGCGACGTTTTTAAAAGTGATATTTCGGCTTTTTGAGAGAGCCCCATTCAACATATTAAAGTTTGTCGAAAATCGGCAATACCGACCGAATTGTAAACTATTATCCCAATTTATTTGTCTGAATATTGAAATCCAGTCAGTAGAGTAAGCAGTACCTGTGAGAGTTGCCCTTTAACTTGTTATCTCCATTAAAATAAAATGAAGCATATTAATTAATACAGTTTATAGAGGAAAATTTGCAAAAACCTAATACTGGAGAATGCGCGATTCGACTCGCGAGAGAAACCGAGGATTCCCGTTTGGTCGCCGCGAGACCGCACGGGCCTCGTCGAGGAATCCCGTCAAGCTCCCCGAAGAACTCGACAACCGGAAGGAAACGAACGCCGGCGGACCGGGGGCGAAGCCAACCGGCTTTACGAGCCGCCACGAAAATCCTTCAGAGGATTTCTATCGACATCGACGTCGTTGCCGCCGTCGCCACCACCGACAACCGCCTCCTCGAGTATCCGGAGGACTCACGGTATACCGGTGAATCGCTAAAAATGAAGAAGCCCCATATCGGGGACTCTCGTTCGTCCAACGAACTCGGGGATCGAGAATGATCCGAGGGACCCGCGCGATCGCTTGTTCCCAAGGCCGAACGATCACTGAAACCGCTGATCGTTGGCGTCGATTCCGATAAAATCAATAGCGATCCTAAAGATACGTTTTTACATGACGGGAAAAGTCATTGCTTTTATTGTGACACTGTATGACAATGTGAAGCAATGTTACGACAACGCGAAATATAGTTTTCACGACGACAAAAGTCATAACAGTTAGTGTCATAATCGTAAAAGTCACGATTTACTGTCACGTGGAAACGTACCTTAACAGTCAGGAGTTACTGTCATGTGGAAACGTACCTTAAAACTTTCCAGTTAAAAGTCACGATTTACTGTCATATGAAGACGTACCTTAAGCGTCGATTTACCGATTTTACGATTTCAGCATATCAGCATCCTTGAGCAGAGAAGGAGCAATGCTACCGTTCGCAAAATTACCCGATCTACACACATTCCATTCGAAAGAATTTAATTTGTTTTAAATTACTTGTTAAACATAGGAAATTTCTGTATTGTAGCGCCAACTCGGTGGGATTATACACTGCTCCTTCGCGAAGTTTCACCATCATGGCCAAGCGATACATCGTTCAATTACGGTACAGAACGTATGTACCAGAAAATTGAGTCTCTCAGACTTTCGATCATCGAGGCTGTGTAGTACACGGACAAATACATACATAATCGGCACGACGCGTCGAAATAAACCATGTAACCCCGTTTCGGGTTGAGTAACGTCTCGACGCAGCTGTTCCTTTATTACGATACACGGTCCCGTGCGTCCCAGATCGGGAGAAGGAACTGCCTGCCCTTCCTCCGACCTTTGCAGATGCATCGCGATGCATCGACGGAACAAAGCCAATAATTAGCGGAACACGAGCCGCCCCGATCGCTCGATATCTTTGTTAACGATGCCCCGATCCTAGAGATTAACCTCGCCTGACGCAGAATTATCCGTTCTACTCGAAAAAATACCTTCCTACGTCTTCATCGCGACCGGAGGGATTCCCTTTCTCCATCGTTCTTTTCCCGCCAGCCTTCCTCCTTCCCCCTCGCCGTACACAAGCATCGGTCTATCCGTCCACCGTCATTCGTTCCTGCCAATTAGATGAACTGATCCAAGTGAATACAAGTAAATAATCGGTACTTTCGTTTCGACATTAAGTATTTTTAGTATCGATACTTTCGGTGTTATATACACTCGGTATCGAAAAAAAGTACCCATATCGAATGGAGCGAGTAATCGATATGAAAGCTAATGAATGTGAAGGTGGTTGTCGTCCAGTTATATTACTTCATCAATAAATGTTATATTATCAACAAAATAATACTTCTCCTGGATCAGTCGACCTTCGGCAAACAATTATTCAATCTCAGTAACTGTTCAAAGCTCAAGATGATACCCTTAGATACTGCAGCTTTTCACTCTGTATTATTCGAATAAAATTCTGTTCAACTCTGGTCAAAAAGTATCATATTAATAAAAAAGAACTTTGTGTTAATTTTCCTTCGATGCAAGTAGGTATCGATACTTTTGATGCGATACTAAGTAAATATCGATACTTTTTTTCGATACAAATTATGAGTAAAAGATCACCCCCCCCCCTCCCCCTTGATTCATTCCTGCCACTAATAGATATCCGGAAACCAGGGAATCGTTTAAAAGAGCACAGGCACGTTATAGGTTATGGCCCGTATAACCGAGACTAATCACGTGGGAACGAAACCGCGAGTTCCAACTATGCAGCGTTCGGCCGGTGCTCGGATGGGTCTTCTCGAAAGTCGACGAGTTTTCAATTACCCCGCGAAACCACGCATACCCGTGCTTTCTAGAGCTTCACTCCCGTGGTGTATACTCACCACACTTTCGTTCGCTACCGACGTACACGATCCGTCGTCCAACGGAGGAATTTCGCCTCTTCCGTCCGCTCCTCCCTGACCAGAGTTGGGCAGAATTTTATTCAAATTAATACATAGTGAAAAACAGCATTATTCAAGAGCGCCATCTTGAGTATGAAACAGTTAAATGGGATTGAATAATTGCTGCCAAGTGCTTATTCGTTCAGGGAGAAGTACTAATTTGTTATAAAAATTGGTGTTTCCACGTTTAGTCGATGAAAAATGACGAAGTACTTTTTCCGTCTTTTATTCGTTATCAGAAACTCTTTATCTACGAGGGTGAGTCAATAAGTAAGTTACATACAAGAGTTATGTAGTTGTCGCTAGGTGGCTACACGGATAAAAAATTGTTGTGACGTGTAGCGAGTTTCAATTGAAGTGCGCCAAGTCAGTCATATAATAATATAGTGGTGTATGAATATTACTGTATGTGTGACGAAAATGGAGCGTCGGATAAAAAATCGCGTTCAAGTTTGAAACGGACATTTTTATGGACAGAATATTATAACCGGTGTGCAATTTATTGAGAATTAGTGTCTCTGTATAGACAAAAATGTCCTGAGTCCTAATCAGTGATTTTGTGGTGGAAATCATTCGAAAACGGGATTGAGGAAGTCACTGATGACTATACATATGTGTGTCTATCTGTGTAGTCCGTGTGTAAGCACAAAATTCGAGGACACTAAATCCTCGATGAGTGTTCTAAGGCTCTTCGATACTGACAAGGAGATACCTCAAGTGTAACGCTGACTTTTTAATGTCGAACACTCATCGAGGATTTACTGTAATGGTACGATCGTTTGAGAAAACCTCCTTTATTCCAAAACCACCCAAAAAACTGTCTCACCGGACATATAACATATAGATACACACATAATACTATTGTTTCTTTCGTAGACGTGTGGTAAGCGCGATTCCTTTTTGATCAACCGAGTGGGAGGGGGAAAACCGACGACCCAGTTGCTCCTGTTCGTTTTCGCGCGACGATCGTCGGCACGATCGTCCGCAATCGAAAAGTTAACCGTGCAATAAGGTGGGGGGGGATCCAGTACCGAAGGCAAACGGAAACGAGCGGACAGCCGGACGGACTTGTCTGAACGTCGAAAGCCAGCGAATAGACCAATGCGAGACGAATACGTTCGCGGATTAGAGAAAACAAAGGGAAGAGAGACGCGGTGGACTGTGTTTTGCTGTCCACGCGACAGCTCGACCGGCTTATCGAATACTTCTGGTGAAAAGCTGAAAAGCTTCTCTAGCCGCCTGGACCTTGTCATCGCGCCTAACCAACACGGACGCCTTTGACAGTAAACACATAAAGGTAAGTTTTCACGTGGACAGTGAATTGAGACTTTTACGGTCATGACAGTAAATATTCTAACTAGCCTGCAGATTTTCATGTAAATATAGATTTTTAGAGGTTAATCTACAGGAACTGGAATCAAATCAAAATCTATTATTTTATTTACTATTCTACCAGGTTCCAAACAATATATACTGACGTGCAAACTCGGCTTCCGTTAGGGAAAAAAGTGGTGTAGGAAAAGGGCCTCCTACCATGCTCCTGCCACATGGTATTGAGAATTACTGAATTCGATTTAACATTTGTTTCAATACATGAAATAAATTTACCAAGTGATAGGAGGCCCTTCTCATACGTCACTTTTTCCCCTAGTGGAAGCCAAGTTTGCTCGTGTGTGTACAAACTTCTTCAAAACTGATCAAACTCTTACGTAAAATGAATTCTAGAAAATCGTGTGTGCTATAAATGTATGAAATCCACAATTTAGTTATGACTTTTATCATCGTGAAAACTAGATGTCGCCTTGTTGTGACATTGGTTTACATTCTCGTACAGTGTCACGACACAACAAAAACAATGACTTTCACTGTCACGTGAAAACGTACCTTAACGACGCATAATTGTCCCTCTTCACTTTCTCTGCTCTCTATTGAGTCGCTTCTCTGGTCTTTAAACCACGCTTAACCGAAACCTAAATATCACAAAGTTTGAATATCGACGTGTGTCTGGTGACTGGATTTCGGGCGTGACTAGGGCAATCGGTCGACCGACGTGAGTCAAATCCTCGACCTGGGTGGTGTCGTCCCAACGCTGCGGCGTAATTACTCATATCCACGCCCCGCAATCTTCTACAGACGACGCTCGCCCCCTCCATCGGTCTGACTCGGATTCTTTCGCGCGTTTTTACCCACCACACATACATACGGGAACCGAATGGTGTCGAGCTTCTCAAATCTATCGACGAATCTCTCTAGTAAGTGAGAGCTACGGCAATCTATAAACACGATATCCCCTGATTTGCCCCGTTTCTACTGCCACCGAAGTCGCTTCTTGTCGTTTTGATCGACAATCCGACGACTGGTTCTCTGTTGCGCTCCAGAAAGGTATTCACCAATGCAATACGCCCGGAATATACTTGTCGATCAGTTTCTCGTAGTACGGCCATAGCTTCTCGATGTCCGGAACCTCGGCGCTTTTGGTGTAAAGGTCGTATTTGCTGGAACACAAAGTCGAATCGGTGCTAGAGCGTCTCTTACTGTTATTTTTTTTTTTTAGCTTTCTCTGTATCTGCAGGGAAAGGAAAATTCCAGGTCGATTCGAGTGGTCGTATAATTTGGTGGAATTAATGTGTGACGTGCTCTGGTAAAAAGAGGCTGACGTATGAAAACGACGTTTCGAGATGAAAGCGTTTAAAATTACGCACTCTGTAGTGGATTGTCTGTTCTGTTTTCAACTATTTTCTCTTGCGTTTCGACGTTCTTATTTCCAGCTGGATGGTGTTACTTATTTCATTTAAGGTTGATCAGAGTACGTATGTGTAACCTCACGAGCAAACTCGGCTTCCGCTAGGGAAAAAAATAACGTAGGAAAATGGCCTCCTACCACTTGGTAAATTTATTTCCAGTACTGAAATAAATGTTAAATCGAATATTAATTTGGCATAAATTTCAGTCACTCCCAAAACTAAATGGTAGGAGGCCCTTCTTCTACCTCACTTTTTCCCCTAGCGGAAGCCGAGTTTGCTCGTGGGTGTACATATATATGTATGTAGACCTCAGTATTTTTGAATAGTGAAGCTTGTATAACCAATTAATTCAAATTGTCTACTTTCATTATTAATACATTATTTTAATTGAGAAGTCAATAATTATTCTAGGAAATTGGGGTTGGTCTCATTGTAAGGAACATACTTCTGTTCATAAAAAAAAACCCGAAAAAGTATTGATTTTTTTTTGCCAGAATACGTCACATATAATGCAATAGTAAAGTATACACACTTGACTAGCAGGTCCTATTGATACAGCAGAAAGCAAGGCTGTGTACCTATCATTCAGTTTTTGTTCCCTACTTACTTAAATTCATTGATCCATTTGAGCTTGTCCATGTCTTCGGGGGTGCAGAAATGCATATAATCGCCGCCCGCGTGCCAAGGGTAGAACGAGTGGTAGCGTATCATGGCCAAACCCTGTTCCGGTAGTTTCGCGTTGTTGTGGACCAGAACGCGATACAAGTATTCGTCGTGGCCCCAGGACATCAGTAGATTGTTTATACCGCATTTAGGCTTGTACATGCCGTATTTTGTGCTGAAACAGACGGATCGATGTTTAAAGATGTTTTTCTTAAATGTTAATGTTTTTCTTGATAGAAATCAACGATTCCCTTTAAACGTTCCATAGACGATATGATTTGTCATACAACTGATTGTACAACCTAGGTCGTTTCGACCGTCTGAACGACAGTTTCAACCAGAGATGAGCAAATTCATTATCTAGATAACGAGTAAGTAGATAAAAAAGTATTTCGTAATTTATAATTGATTAAACGTGGGAATTCTGTATTTTATAATAACATAATATTTCTTCTTGGATGAGTAGATACTTTGCAAACAATTATTTAATCTCATTAATTGTTTAAAGGTCAGGATAACAATCTTGGGTACCACTGCTTTTCATGTATTATTCCAATAAAACTGTGCCCAACTCTGATTGCAACGTTTGTAGCACAGTCGTACGACTTCCCAGATAGCACATGACGCCTAATGACGCCTTGAAGACAGCTTAAAGGCGCCTTAGACCTAAAATAGCTGTAAAATGGAAATCTTCAAGGCGCCATGTGCTATTTGGGTTGTAGACAATACAGTAAGCTAAAAATCTGTCGTCTTGACCGTCTTTTCAAGTCCCTGCACAACAAAGTTTGGCAAAATCTAATCTAATTACAAAATCGAATTGCAAAACAATTACAATTACATTGTAACTTTATGAGTACATTGTACTTTTTATTGAAAATTTAGTATAGTTAATTACAATGTAATTGCAATTGCTTTGCAATTACATTGTAATTGTGATTTGGATTTTGTAATTACATTACATTCTGCCCAACTCTGCTGTCCAACTTGTTGCACGAAAAATCGTATTGTCTATATTAGCCATTACCAACGTCCTCATTCGTCATCGTGCATTACTCACTTGTATCGCGAGTCTTTACCATCCGGGTTATCCTCGAAGGTGGTCTCTCTGTAAACGATCGAGTCAGCCCAGGCGCAACCGACTGGGAACGTGTCGCCCACTACAGCCCACTGAGGCTCGCCGTAGAACGCCATTACCTGCGAAAAAAATATGAAATATAAGTTGATGAAAATCATCAGAGATTTGAGACTTTCATAGCTCGGCATCGTACAGTTATTACTGTTGGACTCTATTATATAGAATTGCAATGGAAAAAATAATACTTAACACGAACTATTTATGAAAATACATATAACTGTATTTAATATATTCTTTTAGAACTAACAACTAATACATAACAAAATAAAACAATAAAATAAGAATTGCATAAAAATCCGTAGTCTAGTAATAACTGTGTGATGAAGATCGTGTTCCTCTGTTGGGGTTGGTCGTTCTCAGGACGAAAACACAACATGCATCGTACCTTGCCCAGATCGTGAATCAGGCCGGTCAAATGAAACCAGTCCAGATCAGGATGGTCCTTTCTGATGGATTCCGCGGTTTGGAACGCGTGCACGATGTTCGGCAGACTGGTGTCCGGGTCACTTTCGTCCACCAAATCATTCAGTTTGATCAGAGCCTCCTTCACGGTCATCTTGAACTTGTTGAAACTAAGCCATTCCTTCATGCGAGCTGAAACGAACAGGAACACAGGCACGTGATTACGCTTCTAGCCCAATGTTTGCGCGATTCAATTTCGAAAAACGTACGATTTCTTCGATATTACGATTATTCAATTTTTGAAAGACATTTAAAGTCGATTTCTATATTTGTGAAAAAAGAATTTAGGAAATATTTCTTTTGCATGGTAACTGTTAAAAAACTATGTATATAGATAAAAACTAATTAAACGTACTTTTATATATATATAAAAGTAAACACAGCAGTAATTAAATAATATCAAATTAATAGGGGCGGTCATATTGTTTTTGCACCCAGGCGGCCAACAACCCAGGAACGGCCCTGACTGTATGGTTACTAAGGCTGTTTCACTCACAATAAATATTGAATACTTTTCTTTAAACACCCTATATAGTTTCTCGAGTTCATCGAATACAAACAGATCAGAGGGACTCACAGGTTACTTACATTTCACGAACTCGACGGTTTGATTGGTGTGCATTTTGCAATAAGTTTTCCGAACTCGCTCCTTCACGGGATCCATCGGGTCCTCCGTGTAGTTCCTGAACTCGCTCTTCAATTTCCCCGCGTAGACGGGCTCCGGACGATACTTGTCCGAAGGGTCTAGTATAGTGGATTGCCTTTGCGTCTGTTGGCAAACGAACATTTCTGTTTACTCGTTACTCGATTCACCTGTCGTTCACGATTCCCATAAACGTCTGTCGACAAGACACGTTCCTTTCTTCGATCGCTCGCGAAACTCCGTCGACCTTTTATCAACTTGTCTTATCAAACGGAATCCCATTAAATCCTCGAAGTTATGACAGACAGCCAATTAAAGAGACAAAAACACTTCACGAGACACGGAATGTACGTAAGATAGCGAATCTGCATGTTGGTTATCGAAGATCGACTCGAAATCGCGCGGAACATCTTCGTTCCAATGAATACTCGAGCGAAAATTCAAAAACAACAGGAGTACTGCCCGCGAAAAGAATCGAAAAATTATTTTACGATATATATGTTTGATGGTGAGGATAACCGTGGAAAAAAAAAAAGGCGAAGAGAAATAATAACTAGAGAAAAAGTACACAGGAACAAAGATGGGACTGATTGGGCGATCGATTCAATGGAGAACGAACGATTGAATAAAGGGAAACGGCGGACGATTCGTCGTCGGCGGCCTTATCGGATGGGGGCGTCCGTCCCGTCGGTGGATGATGTACTTACGATCGTCTTGGCCGACATTCTCGTCTGTCTGTACGGGTGTGTATCCTCGGCTGGTATTGGGTATGCAACACTGACTGACTGACTAGTCCCGTGCGATCGAGTTAACTTATAAATCTGAGGCAATTCACCCTTGACCTCTGCTTGATCAAAGTGTGGTCACGTGTCTAATATTCGATACACGTTATCTCGTACCAACACATTCGTGTGCATTTCTAAACAGTCAAACGAATCCGATAAAAAAAAGAAGAAGAAGGAGAAAAAGAAACGCCGTGGAATTTAACGGTTTCCAGAGACGTAAGTATCGTTTACCACAGATGGTCTGCCGATATCGAACGATCTTGAATCGATTTCTGTCGAATCCGTCGAGACTTCTTCCCGAGGAACCGAACGATATACAGACTCCTCTCTATTATTGTCTGACCTGGTCTACACGATTATTGTCTAGGCGTTATCCCCACCACTGGGGAGGGGTGGGGGCGTGGAACCTGTCAAGAGCATATTTTGTTCCTCTCCGCTTGGGCTTCGGACAAAACATAAAGTCACGAAGGTTCGAAACATTTCTCCCTACAAGATTATTGCCCGGGCGCGGACCCGAGTTTGAGACAATAATTAAGAGAGGTCTGTATGTGTTTCTGTTTCTGGATCTACTATAGTCCATTTCGTATTTCCCTGGCGCGGTAATTGACCTTCTTGGGACCGAAAACGTCCAAATTTTCCCTCAAACACGACGCACACATCGATGCAATTGTGAAAGTTTTCCAACGATCGGATAAAACTCGACCGATTTTTTTTTATTTTGAATCGCTGAATACGATTATAATCTCACTTTTGACAATGTACGTAAGGATTTATTTTTTAATTTAATTATAAATATGAAGCTATTAGAAGGCAGGTAGTTTCTATTTTCGAACGATTATTTATATCTTACATTTATATTTTACTTAAATTCACTATTATTTGTTAAATATGATAAAGGCAGAAAAATTGTGCTAGGTAAATAATTGAAAAATAAAATCGAACTGAACAGCGCTAACTTTATATCCAAAAAGCTAGAGTTTGTGACCTGTAGGGAAGAACTAAAAGCAGCATCGTTTTCAGCATCATTTAATTAACATAAAAAACCCTGTTCAGTTTGATCATTTTGGGACTTGTTGAATAGAGTTATCCAAGATGGCGGAAGTTAGGGTAGACAAATCACGCCGTATAGGGTAGATGTCCCAATCACTGCCACCTTAAGACTATATCATAACTTCGTTTAATCATTTTACGCGTTGTTTAAGCTAAAAATCATCTCAGTTTGGAGCATAATATTATTAAACATCTCTTTCATTAAAAAAAATAGTTTCATATATTAAATGTTAAAAATTAATTAACCATTAATTAAAATCTGCGAGTAGTCCCAGTATCACTATAACTGTCACCTTAAAAATTAATGTAATTCTTATATACTTTAACGATTCATTTTGTATAATAAACATAGGTTGAATAGTAAAATTACAGCTCTTCCATCACATTCTACTTACATAGTTGCATTTTTACCGCTCAAATTGCACTTTCATTTTGCAACATTAATTTTTAATTACCCGGTACATACAAATACGTGTATTTCTTTATTTTTTATGGAAATCAGAGATAAAATTTGTTGTTTACAATTCTTTATACGTTACATCATTATTAAGTAAAATAAACAAAGTGTCAGTTTTAGGAACACTGACATTAATTGGAGATTTACTATATTCTACTCCTACGCCCCTACTCCCCTTCATCTTGACAGTCAAACACTGACGACACACCCTGGCGGGAAATAAAAGCGCGCCTCAGACTTACAGAACCGTAACGACATTACAAATTCCATTATATAAGCAACAAAGGACATAATCGCGTGAAAAAAGAGACGCTCAGAGATATATCGTTGGCGGTCTTGTGTGCGCGCGCGCGTTCCTCAATGAATGGTGGTCTTTATTCGATGAAAAAAATCCTTTAGATTCTTCTGGGAACGGCATGAAAAAATTGTCTCGGTGTTTTCCGTGGCCGACAGTGAAAGGCTGGCCTATTCCGCGGAGAGATTAAGTCTTCTCGGAGGCCGTACGTGAACGAATTAACGTGTGTAATAAAACGGAGATAAAAATTTCCTTTGACCCTTGATACGTTAAACAGTGCAAATTCGATCATGTCCAATTCACCGAAATGACGCTCGACGAGTGACAATCTTATCCGAGGTCGTCGGAGGTAAATAATTAGTAAAAAAGAAAAATCTCATTTCCATGAAATAATCGCCGATTAGGTGCGACTGGGGACAGAACAGGTGTCGCGGCACGCGCAAGGCACTGTGACGAGAGGGCGCACGCGCGTCTTTTGCGTAGTTGCGGGCACGCGCGTTCTCGATTTATTAAACTGAATTAGCCGACAATTGATTTGGCGCAAAAAGGAATGATCCTCTCGGGGCAATTTATTATTCGATTGGTGTTAAGTGCATAAAGCATCGATGCTATTTTCATACCGCGAGCAGACCGAAGAACTACTGGCTTATTTATTTTGAATTTGTTATTTTGAAGTTGGGCTGAGTGTGGGGGTTAGGGTGGGGCATGGAGAAGCGTGAAACGCGCGAGAAAGAGGAAAAGGACGACTGGAAAAAAATTCCTAGCTGACTCTGATGTGTTGTTCAATCGGTTTGAACGCGCGCGCGCATGGAATACTTTAATTTGATAACCTTTGATATTGAGCGGCGATCGATGCATCGATCAAAGCTAGGCCACGACGAATTTGTACGCAAAATTTCAGGAAACACGTCAAAACATTCTCGATACCCGAAGAAGACGCGAAATAAGCCCGCGATACGCTTCCTTCTTGGCAGTCGGCACCACGTTTGATAATTGCCGACATTTATCCCGTGGAAAATTCGAAGTCTACATTTTTTCTATCACATCGGCGATACGTATCTCTCGCTTGACGCGAAAAGTCTTGTTTTGAAATGGCGTTACGTCAATAGGTTCGGAAACGATGCAAATATTTTCTTCTCCATCTTCTTTTTTTTTTTTTTTCGTATTTTTGCCCTGTTTCTTTTTCTTCTTGACTGACGACAACCGAAGAGCAAAATGAGATGGCGGGCATTTCTGCATTCATGGTACGCTTGGCTTTATGTACACCGACGAGTAAACTCGGCTTCCATTAGGGGAAAAAGTGAAGTAGGGGAAGAGCCTCGTATTTCGTTTCGGGAACTATTGAAATGTATGCCAAATTAATTTTCGATTTAACATTTATTCCAGTACTTGAAATAAATGTTAAAATGAATATTATTTTGGCGTCAATTTCAGTAATTCTCAATACCAAGAGCTAGGAGCATAGTAGGAGGTCCTTACGCTAGGGGAAAAAGTAAGGTAGACGAAGGGCTTTCACCATTTAGTTTTGGGAGTTACTGAAATTTATGCCAAATTAACATTTATTTCAGTACTTGAAATAAATTTACTAAGTGGTAGGAGAGTTTTCTTCTACGTCACATTTTCTCCTAGTGGAAGTCGAGTTTACTTGCGAGGGTACATGTATCTCTTGGATTTGCTTCGTCGGTAAAGCGGTTGTATCCGTTAAGATACCGGTCGCAGGAACAAAACAACGGGTAAAAACGATAAAGGGTCATTTGTACGCCAAATCCATCACTTTTTGCAGTCGCTGTCAAGGATTTTGTTCAAAATGAAATATATTGTAGTCCACGTGAAATTAAGGGGGTTTTAAGTCATCATTTTTCTGTTTCCGAATTTGTTTAAAAAATACAAGTCACCAAATTTTACGATTTTTGCTTATTTTCCTGAAATACTTAAGAATTTATATCTCGGAAACCGATAGTGTGTGCAAAAAGTGATCGATTTGGCGTGGAATGAAACAAGTAATTAATTTTTTACGATAGAATGACCTGAATGTTGTTTCTTTTTTCAATCATCTTTTATTTTCTTCCTGCTTTCTTTCTTGGGCAAAAGTTGTATTAAAATTATCGTCTAGCCTATACGATAATGGCCGCAGCAGCAGAGCAGACACCCGCGAGTACATATGTAGTGTTGTTTATATACGATGGGTGTATATACAATTTTACACGTATAAAGTTATCGAAATAACGATTCAAGGCGAGCTCGAATCGGAATACGACGAATTGCTGCCCTTTCGTCGCGCGCTATGATGATGCCTTCGGGACGGTGTTCGTGATCGCGATCTATGCTTCGAAGAGGACTTCTTGCTCTTCTTCGACCTGTGTGATCGAGAACTGCTTGGACTGTCATGGCTGCTGAAATTTGATAGAAACAGATAAATTGTACATTAGTAACAATTACTTCAAAGTTAACACGTTCACAGATCTATAAGGTGTATATGGGTCGATCTAGTGCCCATAACTCATAGATCCGTTTAAACTTGTTACTGCTTACTGGAACAGTGAAGGTATTAATATTCTATAAATTATACAGATCATTGTACAAATGAAAAGAGGGTCTATGTCTACTCATTTCGCAGAACCTTAACTAGACTTCAAATTCTATGCTCTTATACTATACAAAACTGCGTATCACATAAGACAGTACAAGCTTTTAAAAATGAATGATACATTTCTTATCTTATTGTCAATTCAATAAACCTGATAGATGAAACAAACATTTGCTGTTTACTAATAACGGAGGACCAAAATGTGTGACAATATCTCGACAGTTAATCGCACAATATTGATTGCCTCGAGTGAACGGTCTCCGTCGCAGTAATCGGGTAACGAAGTCAAATACCTTCTATGAGTACTCTTCTTCTTCTTATGCTTCTTGTGATACTTCTGTCTATCGCTGTGACTTCGACTGCTGTCTGGACTTCTTGATCGAGGCCTGGATCTTTTACCGGTAAGGTCTGCGCTCTTCAATCTCTCCATCAACGAGTTCCCGCCGGTTCTGGAATCGCATGACTTCACGTCGTCGAATGACAGTGAAGGGGTCGGCGATGGTACGGAATGCACTTCATCCGAGTCATCTTTTCGCGTGGATTGTATGGCAGTTCCACTGGCTTTCGACAACACAGACGACTGTATTTGACTTAAGAACGCTGCCGCTTTCTTTTTCCTCTCCAATTGTAACTGTCTTTCTCTGGACGTAGCAGCCAGTTTGTCCCTAGCTGCCGCGACCAGTTTATCTTTGATTCTATCTTCAGCCTGCTTGTGCCTGATTTCCTTCTGGCAGTCTTCGAGAATCTCGTCGGTAAGATCCACCAACTCCTTTTCTTCGTTGCGCGACTTCTTATCCGACTTCCAGGCATCTCTATCCGCCCCAAGGCTAGTCGCGGAATTTTGCTCGTTCGGTGGCGAGTTCGGTTTCGAGTTCGAGTCTTTGTTCTCATTCTCCAACTCGTCGTCGCTCTCCTCCAATGGAAGAGCATTCCGTTTCTCGATTACGCCCGTTTCTCCATCTTTCGGTTTCTTAATCGAGAACGATACCGTGGTGATTTGTTTAGCCCCCGGTGTGACCTGTTTGGTTCTCGTGTCGCTCTTCTTCTTTGCCTGAATCATTTTCACCCTTTTCTGCACTTCCTCCATTCGTTGCTGTTTCTTCTGCAGTTCCTCCAGTTTCTTCTGTTTCTCCTCGAGCGGTTCCTGCTTCTGCAGAAGTTCCTCTTCCGTCAACACCTTCGGATTTACAGCGCCCTCGTATATCGTCAGTTTGTGCGCGTAATAGCCGTGATACTGGTGCGACAGCTCCAGGAAATTAAACCTCGGATCACCCTTGTTCTTTACGATTGCCTCGAAATCCCTACCGTTCTTCGCCACGTAACTAGCCATTTTATCGATGACTATTTGCACATCCGCTGGGGGCACGATAAACGACGGTCTGCTCAACTGCTTCTGAGGTGTGGCCCCGTAAGGGACCAACGGCGACGGGGGTTCGATGGTCGACGAGTGCGTCACAGCAGCGTCGGTTATAGACGGTAGTAGATTCACAGCCGCCAGCTGACCTGTTGACTGTATTTGACCGTTTGGTCCGTATACCACAGGCCCGTGAGAGTATTGTACGGGTGCCGGATAAGGATTATAAATCTGCAAATAAATGAAAATTAAGTAAGTCGTTGTTGGAAATGATATTTGAAATGCCCGCTTGAGTGTGCGCATATACGAACGCGTTCCCCTTTTCGCACGGGTTTTGTCCCAGTTCGATTTCAATGGAACGGCGTATGAGAGTAATCGAGAGTGCGTGCGATAAAATTATAATACAGCAGTAAGAAACCATTATAGTTTGTTTAACAGGAAATTAACCACCGCGAACCAACCAAACATTCGTGTATCGACCACTTCCATCACTGCTACTTGAGAGCCACTGACCTGTCCAGGAACGGGGTGATAATATCCTACAGTAGTAGCTGGTAGCTGAACAGGTGTTTCAGGCGGTTGCTGCGTCTTCGAGGGCGGTGGTTTCCCCGTGATTTTGTTTACGAGCATTGAATAAGCACAATCTGCGGACGGTTTGTACTGTATGCTTGGAATACTTGGAGCCTACGAACGACATCGGTTTAGTTGACGCCTGGAAAACGGCGTGAATCTAGCTGTTAACCCTTTGCACTCGATTGTCCCCTCCAAAGGGAGAAAATGTACGGGGAATTAGAAAATTCCGAGCGCAAAGGGTTGAATAATGTAAACACGTACCGCCTCTATCTTGGTGAAAGACGGTGCCAGACTCGGATGGAGATACGACTCGTCATCTTGATCCGACGATCCTTCTTCGTGTTCTATCATTGAAAAGAATACGCGTAAGTAGAACGTGCACGTGCGTACATTCGCTAATGCTTCCTACGTATCACACAGAGATCGATGTACATTAACAAATATGCGTAGAAGTACTTACGGCACGAAAAACTAAGTAGAATTCAAAGTAGATGTGGGTAATCAAATCCTGTTTTAAGTCGCTTCAATCATTTCAACTCGATAATATCATAGTGAACAACATTACTATAAGATGTCGCCTTAAATAAAACAATATGCGTACCAGATTCCTCTTTCTCGGGCTGCTTTTCGGGATTGTACTTTCCGCTCTTGATCGCGTCCAGTATGAATCTGTAATATTGGTGCAGGCGTCCGTCTATCGATAAAAACGAAAACTGTGGATTGTTTGCCTGCTTCGCTTTAATCAAGATCTCCATTTGGCCCCCTTGACGACTTATGAACAACGCCGTTTTTGTTATGATGGCGTTCAGTTTTTGTGTTTCCGGCTGTTAAAGAAGACAGATTGTCACAGGTACATTCTCACAATCTTATTTTTTTCGTCCTCAAAAATTTATTTCTTACGCACCAATTGAATACCCTCTGGAATTTCCAGATTAGGTGGTGGTACGAATGCCTGATCCTCTTCTTGGGACTCCTCGGACTGCTTTGGACTTTGAGAATCTTCACATGCGATTTTCGAGCCGTTTCCATCTTCGTTGTAATTATACGCTACCTGACTGTACGTATTTTCTGAATCTAGGGCTTGATGCAGTCTTTTCATTTCTTCCTCTGAAAATATTAGGGTTCTTTAAATGTTTTCAGATCACCTTGATTCACGTATTGCTCGTAGGATGGTCAATTTACCATGATATACCGAATCGTCGATATCGTTGTTGTAAAGAGACCGATACCGTTCCTCGTCGCACAGTTGTTCCACTTTGAGTTCTTCCTCCGTAAGGATAGTACGCTGATCGAACCCACCCGGCGGTGGTTCGTATATCCTTAAGTCCCCCAGTGCTCCGCGTCCATCGTATCTATACACATATAATAATCAAATTAACGAGAGAAAATGACACGTGTCATTGAGAGTTTGTTTGGTCGGTTTCCGCATCTGAAAGTTATGTCACGAAGCAAACCCTGTGTCAAAGTGATTCCTCTGAAATAGAACACAGTTATACAAAACTCGATGACATACTATTACATTTGCCATGTTCATTTTTGCGTTATTCACTGTCGGCACGTATCCGTGACTAAAAAAAATGTAGAGAAAAACGTGTATTTACAGGCATTGTTGACTAGATAGCTGTAATTGCTCGATAGCACCAAGTATTAGAAGAAAATTAGCAGAAATTGTAACGACTACGTCATTAAGTTTTAGTGTAACCCAGACGCGGTGTACTGAATCTTAAACAGTTGTATGCACTATCTAGAGTATTTGTTTCTAACAGAAGGTATTTCAATGTAATTGAACACGTTCAGGACAGTATGACCCAACATGTGGTTATTCAGTGACGATCCTACCTAATGACATGACTCGTGGGTAGGTCACCGCAGACAAATTGTATAGAAGACACGAATAACGTTATTAAATATATTTTTTCATAGAAAATGATAAAATAATGTGATGGGTTATTCCTGCGTGGCTGGCGATAAAAGTTGTGTAAGTGACATTACCGATGTACACGTATATTTAACAGGTAGAAATAAACCAAAAAGTTATTCAATAATTAATGGAATCATCTAGTTATTATACACGCCAGCATTAACGAGTGTTTCATGAGTTACACTGCCATCCTGAACGTGTTAATGTATGTTGTACGTAACTCTTCGAGAAAACTACTCATACCATAATTAACATGAAACGCGTTGAGTGTCTATGCCGGGTACGGCCGAGTCTAAAACGCTAATACATACCATGCTGAACGATTGTAGTACCTACAACCGTCAGCTGCCGTTTGTCTCTCTACGCTGTGTCTCACCTTGCTGCTGCGCCGCCGGTCAGCCATAAGCACCAACGTCGCGAGAGCACTTGCTCTACGGGCGTGTAGAGCGCGTATACCGCGCTTCCACACTGCCTGTTCACAGCCAAGGACACCTGCAGAAACCTTAAACAGTCTCCAGATTGCTTATCCATACGTTAACCGTTTCATGGTAGTGTTTTTTTTTTCGAACAGTTGCACATTGCTTAGTTCAGTCTGACATCGTTCTTCTAAAGGTTACATATACGGTGCGTTTATGCAAGAATTAAATATCCTAGATGATAAAGTTTGGTCTAGGTTAGAGAAACGGACCTGTCTATTTTCAACGTGTTATCGCCCATCCATGGTATCAAATGCTTTCCTTGATCAATCATTTTCGCCTTGTCATCATCTCGAAATAATTTGCAGCTGTATCCAAACACCAACAGCTCCTGCGGCTCCTCTTCTCCATTTTTTTTACGTAGGATCCCCGAATCAACCATCCAACGTTGACTTTTCGATGCCGCCATTTTCCAGCTACTGAACTCTAACGTTCCACCTTGTATACAAGAGCAGCCACAAAGCTGAGATTATGTAAACGTATGTACACGACCAAACGCAATTGTTGTCCAACCTGAACCACTCCGTTCAAGCACAGACGAGATATAAGGATAGACCATTACCTGCACTGTATTTTCATGCCCTGAGTTTTCGGGACTTTAGAGCCCCTTATGTACTATTTTAGTGTCAATACCCGACGTTACCGATAAAGCACAAATTCTGAGTGTTATCACAGACGAGATATATAAATAGACTTACATGCAATGTAATTTTCTGTTCCATGCTTCGAGGGCGTCAGAAGCCCCTTTACCATTTTAGTATCAATACCCGACGTTACCGATAAAGCATGAATTCTGAGTATTATTAGCACAAATGAAGTGTTGTATATTCCACTCATATTGCGTGTATCTATATGATTTGACGGGAATCAAAATATCGGATGCGTCAGTTTAAGGTTAAGGAATAAATATGACAGTCATGAAACATGAAACGGAAAAGTATATATTTTTTCACTTAACTACAAGACAATTTATTCTAAATGCATCGTTACTGGACATTTTATTAATGTTACTTTTTACATGTTCTTGTTTTATTCGTTTTTATATCTTGCCTTACATTTGTATATTTGTAACAGATACATTCAGAATAGATGTAGTTTCATAAATAGTTTATCAAATTTACATGTGGGAAAATATATACATACATCGCTTTTATTAACATTTACAGATTTATAATTTATATGAGAGTATGAATATAGTTTTACTGTCTATTGTAAGATATTTCGTTGGCCTCCGTATTAGCGCACTGCGCCTAACAATTGAATCGAATAGACGTATTGTACCGTAGCGCATCGTATTGTATTTCAAACTTTAAAACATTATACTTAATGAAACGTTAAAAGTTAAAGTTGTCCGGCTAACTTCACAGAGGTGAATTCCCGGGCGTGAGCACTCTTATTTCCTCTCTGCCTGAAACCACTCCCTCAAGATGTGTCATCGAGGCTTTGTGCATTGGCACCACTGGTGCTTCTTTCCAGATGGTTTCTCCAGTGACTGATTCATAATAGTTAAGTCGGAAAGAGCGAATGAGTCTTTAAACATTGGTAAGGTCATGTATAAAGGCGTGATCGATTTCGTGCTCGAACGGCGTTTATTCTCACGTCGATAGCGTTACTCGTTCATTCGATGTACTCCACTTGAAAACACGTCTCTCACTTAACGTCGATATAGTTCGAAGAATTTGAAGTAAGAAAGAAAAATAAATATCATTAAATGTTTTGTTTCCTAGTTGAATTGCATTCTAAATACTCCGTGCTCTAAGTTGTTTTACAATTATCTTTAATCGACGGTTTCATCTACCCACATGCTTCTGCTATAATGTTATTGGGTGTGCTTGCTTGCCACGGTCGTCTGTTTTTAAATTGTTAGGTCACTGTACTCTTCTTCTAAACTTACGATGTTCGTCGACCAATTAAAAATATAAATGATTTAAGAACCGATTGTATTAAGGTCTATACGGACTTGTTGCAGATCGTTACCCACAGAGTACGTATTGCTCGTAACGATCTAGTCACATAATTGATTTGTCAAAACGAATCCGATGAGTGACTCAACAAAGAATTGTCCCTCACTGTTACTAAAAATACATGTAACATTCAAAATACATGTAACATTCAGAACTTCGAATGAAATTATTACTTGTTAACCCCATGTTTGCTTTACCCATTTAATTAAACACAAACATTAATTTGGTTAGCGTTCGTCGATCGTTAAGGTTAAAAATGAACTCTTACTTTTTAGACAAGAGGCATTCGTAGCTTTGTATTAGAAAGCTTTACAGCTTTAAGACGTGTTGGAATAAAAATTACATAATGACAGAGTATAAGCTTGTTGTTGTGGGAGCTGGAGGTGTTGGCAAGTCTGCTCTTACGATTCAGTTGATACAGAATCATTTTGTAGACGAGTATGATCCTACTATAGAGGACTCGTACAGAAAACAAGTAAGTGTGTACATAATTTCTTCCAAACCGATCAATACTTATATCGTATATACTTTTAAACAAAAGTTGTTTTAAATACAGGTAGTCATAGACGGGGAGACATGTCTTTTAGATATATTAGATACAGCTGGTCAAGAAGAATATAGTGCAATGAGAGATCAGTATATGAGAACTGGGGAAGGGTTTTTACTAGTGTTTGCTGTAAATTCGGCTAAAAGTTTTGAGGTATGTACATCTGCTTTCTGGCATCTGATCACCTTATTATTAATTTTGTATGTATACTTGTGCAAATTGTGCAAAGAGATTTATACATGTTTTATACTGTAGGATATAGGTACATACAGGGAACAAATAAAACGAGTAAAGGATGCAGAAGAAGTACCAATGGTATTGGTAGGAAATAAATGTGACCTTCAACAATCTTGGGCAGTAAATATGACACAAGCAAGAGAAGTTGCCCGTCAGTACGGTGTGCCTTTCGTTGAAACTTCTGCAAAGACTAGAATGGGAGTAGACGATGCTTTTTATACATTGGTAAGCTAATATGTGTTCTTGTGCATAATTTTTACGAAACCAGCGACGTAAATAGAGATTAATTAAAGCTTTAAATAAATATCAAAATACACAATACTGTTTAGTGCAATTACAATTCATTATTAATACGAAGTGGAATTAATGAATTGTAGGTCAGAGAAATACGGAAAGATAAAGAACATAGGGGAAAAGAGAAAAAGAAACAGAAAAAAAGAGCAGGTAACTCGAGCCGTAGGAAACATCGATGCTGTTTGCTTTAAATCACCGAATAACATTAATTCTCTCATTCGATTCATTAATACAGATATAAATTGTAAAAAGCATTAGATTATGTTCACTCTACGCACATTTTTGCAGCTTATTCTATAGAATATTGTAATAATTTACAAGCACAATTTTTTCTATACATTGAAAGGGAGAGAGAACAAAGTATGTAATAGTATTATATAATATTGCGTACATTTTTACTCTTCACGTTCAATTCATAAAATACATTGTTTGTTCAACAGTCTGCCATATAACTCTTAATATTCCATTTGCAGAAGAATTTTAACCCTTGATTGCATAGAATAGTCAGCATCAAAAATATTTTTAAGGCTACTCGCATGTTTTATTGTTAATTACTTTTAGTTAATCGTACGAGAAAGTATTATCATATGAAAGAAGTGCATAGTTTTAGAGACTGCTGAGTAAAAAAAATGAAAATATTCGTTGCATACTTTATTAAAATAGCTTATACTTCGAAATATATACTTAATTCATTAATTAAATATATGTTTAAACTTTACATTCATACCTTAATGTGCATAGCAAACATTTTTTCACGAAAAAAAAAAAGAAAAAGAGAACAAAAGCCATAAAACTCGAGAAAATACAATATGGATAATTCATTTTGTGCTGTGATTAAATAATCTTAAGTATGCCATGCTAGTTAGGTATTATTGTGAATAAGTATGCAATCTTGATATAAATGCCTATTTACCAATTTAAGGGTAAATAGGATTGCTCGTATGTTCATTTTTAGTGCAATTAAAAATATACTTGATATTCTTTTTACGGACAATAATATAAGTCCTCGCATGTAACGCAGATAATACAATAAGCAATAGGTTATTATATTGCAATTTTTATATGTTCATATTGAAGAAAATTTGGTAGATACAATTTTATTTTTATCGGTATACAAGTGTGAGCGTCCTTTTCGTCAATCACTGTTGCTCCACTGCAGAGTTCAAAACTCGCCTTGTTATAAAAAATATAATTTAAGAATAACATTTATGCGAAAGAAGTGAAAGTGTACATTGATATTTGAATGCTCCAGTGTACCTTCACTGTTGTTACTGCACAAAGATAGATATTTTATAACGTTTTTGTACCCTCTTTTATCTCGTCATTTTCATATCCATATTACAGTTCAATTTTGATAGATTATGCAATGTGGAATACATAATTTCAAGGCATTTCAAATATCACTAGTAAACAACTTTTATTACAATGAAATATTTGAATATTTCTTCAAACAGTAATGTTATATTATTAGAATGAAATGTGAATCTGTTATAAAATGCAAAAGAGTCTGTGTTTTTTTAATAAAATCAACCGATCTAAACATATTTCATGAGATGTTCGTTGACCCACTTAAATAGACCACTGGATTTTAAACAATCAAGGGTTAAATACTTTGTTAAATGATCTAAATAATGCAATTTGCAAATATTCTCGTATATATATATAATGGCGTATATTTGTAATACTAGCTTTTTCAGATACTGAATATATGTATATATAAAATTGCACAGCATAGGTGTTGTTATGTAGTTTAAATTCGTAATAAAACTTTGTACAAAAGGTGTTCTTTAATATTCATTCATCTTGAATGATTATCTTTACATATTAATTATAGGTCACCTATGCTGTCTGGTTTTATAGTGTTGAAGGAGCAGTTCACAGATCTTGGACTAATTTTATTCGTATGATGTTTCATGTAATAAAAGGATACATTATTCAAATCAAACGGTCCTAAAATATTGTTAAAAAAATTACATTTTCAAAATTAAAGTTTATAAATCTGTGTGTCATACCTATTTAGGTTCACTATTAACTTCATCGTTCATCAAAATTCTACTGGTATATATAAATCGCATTGAAAAAATTATGCACTTATTACATACATATTTATTCTTTTATTTAGAACATATTGTTATCGAACAAAAGAATATTATACAAATCTATACACCAAGTACAAATTATAAAAAAAATTTCTTTTTATTAAATGCATATATCGAGTGTAGTATATATATATTCAATACATATATATAAATTCCGGTACGAAAACATGTGTACTGATACATGATTACTTTTCAGTATACATATAATAGTTTTCCATTACCTATTTCTGAAAACCATACAAAATGAGTCTGTCATTTCGTATCCACCAAAACAACTTACGTCATAATTACGAAATAGTAGTACAATTTATACGCTGATCGACATTCTAATACACACGCTGATGTATCAAAATGTTACCATCCGTATGCATCTCAATTTTTTTATCAGAAAAATTAATGTATATTTTGGTTAACAAATTTTCTAAGAATCTTTGTATTAACTCGGTAGAATTTAACATAATATCCGTCATTTAATGGCATGATAAAGCTACTGCAACGATAAAAATGTAAGAAATAGTTTATAAATTTATTCAGATTAATAAACCAACATTTATATATATATACAAAATGTACAATTCTTTACCCAATTCATGTAAGTTAATATCAGTTCTCGTAGGTAATAAAGGTAACGTAATGTTTTTGGTTTAATTTGTGTTTATTTTCGAGCACCTATGTAAATATAATATCGTTATACGCCTATATGATTCTGTATGTCACTATATCACTGTCATGTTACTGTTTAATATATGTATAAACTATCTTCTAATTACATACGAAATGGTAAATGTAGGCTTGTGTGTATAGTATACAATAATATATATGGCACGTCAGTCTGTACGTTTAATTACTTAAATCACTTAATGATAATTATTAAATACTACTGCGCATCTGTCGTCAGATCTTATGAATTGTTTTTGTTACGTTTGGCATTATTCATGGCGTATGGATTTAGCGCTACTGTATCATTTCCATATATTTTTGCTTATGTTTGCTCAACATTTCAGTAACCGTCACCAACTGTTTTATTGTCGGCTGAAAATGATGTAAAAATGAAGACGAATCATTTTAATTATTCATGTGATCACAGATTAAGCTACTTGAATCATGTTCATGCGAAACATGTAATACATACCTGTGTCTTTGATAGAACTTGCAACTCTTTTAAGTGAGAAACACAAATGTGATGCAAAGTAGCCAAATCTCTTGCTGTGTCTGACACGCAACTCTTGTTTGTCAGATCAGCGCCTTCAGACTCCGGTTTCTCAGTTACATTCTATACGCAATAGATTTAAATCAGATTCAATTCAAATTTTTATCGTTCACTAGAAAATATAAAAATTAACGCTTACCGATAATTGATCGAGAAAAACGACCATACGTTCTTTGTTCTTAAGTATGAACGGATTCACCACTTCCATGTATGGCTCTTTACCACCAAATTCTACTAAATTCGCCAGATTTTGTAAACATTTTGCGACCATTACTAACGATCTATCAAAACATAAATCGAGAATTAAAGAATAATATATGCAGATTCAAAATATCTTACGTTAAATATAGACCTACCCTACCTTGCAGCAGCTGGTGGAGGCGGTTCAGCTATTAAATTAAATGACCTAGGATTTAATATGGCTGGGCAGAGTAGACGTAAAAATATAAATCCACTGACTACTCGCGTTCTGACTAGTCTTTCATGTGGCCATTTGGCAACGACCGCTCTTTGCAAGCATCCGCAGATATATCTTAAAGTTCTTGGACAAGCGTCGGGACTTGTAAAAATGCTCAATGTTACTTCATCTAAAACCTAAAAAAAACCGTGGATTTGCAGTGACCTCTAATCAAAATAATATTATTCGTATATTCCATTATACTTGCCTGTAGCAAAAATTCAGCATTACTGCACGCGTCTTCCGGTGAGTCCATTTTGGTTGGATTTAATTCACAACTCTGTTTGCTTTCGATCAATTTCACTATCGTGTCGCGTAATGCTGCTTTTAAAAACGAGGTACAAACTGATTTCATGTATAAATCCATTAAAGTAGTTGTAAGGCTGGCAGCTCGAAATAATGTTGGTGTCTCATCTTCTTTGTCCACCTAAACAAAATTTAAAGCCGTTGTAGCGGAAACAAATACTTAAGTAAACGATTTTTTTTTCAAAACGTGCAAATTTACTTACTTCTGCTTGATTCAGTGATTTTAATAGATCAGCTTCTTTTCTTTCATGCCTAAATATGTACGATTAGATGTTATAATAATACTATTGAGAAACGAGAGAACATTAACATGCAGTAGATTATAAATCATTTTCGCATATACCTAAATATTCTAAGTAAACTATTTGCCAATGGTACTCTATCCAAATGACACACATCCGCTAATGCCCTTACGACATGTAAATCGGGATCTAGTAATAACTGCTGCAACGGACTGTATTCTTCTGGAGGCATCGCCAAATCGTGTCGGTATCTGGAATGTTGCAAACGCATAAGGTCAATGTCCCTATTTCTAACCACGTCCCGATTTCTGCTCAGTATTTTTTATTTAATGTAAAAAGTTAGACACTACATTAGTTATACAGAAAATTATTTTAATTAATATTTCCGTACAAAATGCTACAGCCCGCTGTTCAATAAATGGCAGCATTTTAATAGAAATAAATTTGATAAGTGTGTCCGTCGTAATGGAACGTTATTTGAGCGGTTTCGTTGCGACCGACGCTACGTTTTCACTAAAAAAAAACTACGAAATCTTTAATATTGTTTGGCAAAGATTGGTTTTGGCACTTCAATTTGAGCTGAGCAGAAATAGGCACATTTTATACTTCATATTAAATTAACTATTAAGTTAAAATTTTTTTTAAAAATACTTCTATTTAAACTTGATTATGAAGGGAGGTTTAATTTAAAACAAAAAATCAATTTCTGAGGTAGCAGAATTCTTATATGATTAGAAATAGGGACCTTAGCATAGAATACAGCTATAATTGTTCTTGTAACAAATATATACCTTATACGTAAACGTAGCACACCCCATTCCCCGATTGGAGTAACTCCTGATAACGGATACCACTCGTCCATCTCTTCTCCGTTTGTCAAGCTTGCCAGTTCGATGCGCAACTCTGCAACTTCTATATCTTTACTACGTTTACCTTTGTTGTATAACGTTAACGAGAACAGCATAACATCAGCTGGTACATCCCTATCGAGTAGTAGTTCAGAATTAAAGCAATTACAGCGCTATGGAAGATTGCTGGTACCTTTAATGATCAATGATATATACATACTCCAGAATGAATTCTTCATCCCAAATCGGATGTAGACCAGTTTTAACTTTTGTACGAGCAACTTTTACATTATTCAGAGCCACTATGATGAATGGATTTGGTACTAGTTTATATGGAAGTCTATGTGCATCTAAAATGTGAAGATGTAACGAACGCAATTCACGGAGTCGGGCAACCTTCGGAGCACGTATAAGCTGTGATACACATAACGGTTTCAAGGCATTAATCCAATCTAAAGCGTTCTCTGAGTTCGGAGCTGCCAAATATGTTATCGTGGCCAAACATGGTAAAGCACGTTCAACTAGTTGAAAGCAATGAGGTCTATCGAACACACTTTCATGAACCTAAAAAAGCTACATATCAGTAATAAATCTCTAATAAATTTCACTGCATTATCTTTACCATGCACGCAATTCAAGTAACCATTGAACGTTGTTAGTATAATTAGGTATGTATGATAATAAATAATCTCAAGAGTTTCGTTTACCTGATATAAATAAGCACAGTTTAAATCTATGAGACCTTTAGGTTTGGTTCTTTTCGGATTCTCATACAAATACAAATGAGTGTCTGTGGCATCTACCAAAAGTACAAAATACAGTGCTTTCCATTTTTTATTTTTCTCGGATTTCTTCTCCAGATACCCTTGCATTTTAATTCCTTTATTTTTCTTCGCTCCGGATTGTTCACGACATTCTCTAAGAGTTGCATATATCTTTTCTGCGTGCTGCACCTCTCTGTTCACTCTTACACTGCCATCAGGTTCAGTGACCATCGCTTGAACTAAAGTATGACCTTCTACTATTTGCTCTTTCCGGTATCTGGAAATAATTTCGACAATAATTTATATATTCCAAAGATGTAACGGGCCTAAGAATAAACATACTGTACCTATTAATAACAGCATCAAGGCATTCAAAAGTTCTGCCACCCATAAGGTATCGAACCCCTTTTTTTTCAATTCTAAATCTTTGAATCTGATTGTTTATATGAAAGAAAAGCGAATAATCTCCTGGACTATTGTCTGATGGTCTGACCTGTACAACGAATTCGTATTTTCAAACGTATAAAGCGTGACAATGAACTACTAATCCCATAAAATAGCATTACAAAACGGTTTATAAATGAACTCACAAGAAAGCTTCCAGGTCCTGCTTTCACCAACATATCAACAGCTTCACTTTTAGTGACGTTAGGGTGGAACCAAGAGAAAACTGTATTAGGATCAATGGAATCATCTAAATCTTCCACTAATTCACGAAAAATCAAGCCCTGTTCTCCGGTTCTGTGAGCGGTGACCCATAACCAACCATCGCCCATATCGTTATGCACAAAAAATATGTCACCTTTCTGAAAGCTTAATTCGTCTGTATCAGGCATTTTTGTATATGGCAGTATGGCAACAATTCGCTTCTTATCGTTCACTGGTTCAGGGGGTGGAGTAGGATGTATAAGTCTTTCTCTCTTTAAAAGATCAGAACAGTGAGTATAATATGCAACAAGGTCTGACAAACTATTGAACTGTCTGCCACCTGCAACAGTATGTATATTCCATTAATTAATGAATAGATAATAATATCAAATAGTTCTTACGCATTCAATAATTTCTATCGTACCAATATAATAGTCCCCACAGACAGCAGTAATTCTAAAGTGATTAATACCAGTTCTTCCCAGATAGGACAACACATAACTTCCAGGCTTCCTATCACTCTCGCGCACTAAATAACTACTCATTTTAGTTCCTTCCCACAGTCTCTCATCTGCTGTAAATCTATCTAGCCTACCATGGTACCACCTGTAAAATATCCATACATGTTACAAATCTTGTTCGAGCTAATGTCTCTGTTTGTAATTAAATAGTCTTATCCCTATTTTATCTCACTGGTTTTCTGGAGGAGCTGTTAATAATGTTGCATTAGCACTATCAGGTTCTTCTGTGTCTTGTATATCATCAGGAATATTTTCAAGAAATGGATCAAATTCATTTTCCGCATTCATAGATTCATTCTGTCCACCATCTTCACTGCCAGTGCTAGGAGATCCTTCTTTACTATTGTGATCCATCTGTAGAGAAGTATAAATAAAAATAAACATTCCGTGATCCTACGCATCTGTATCAGTTTTATTATACAAGTTTGTGAAATACATCTTTCAAGGTAAAATAATTTTTAATGGTCAACAAAGCAGGAAGGGACCTTTTGCTTTTGTTTTCATATAAAAGTATACTATATCACAGTAGTCTAAAACATAAATACGATTTGTAGATAATTGTTTATTATTTTTTTAAATTTTACCATTCGCTTTATTGTGCACGAGTCGATAAAAAATACTGTCTGTCAATGATGCAAAGAACATTTTCCCGAAAAATATTTAAAAAATAGTTCGAAACGTACCGGAAATCTCTGGATATTCGGAAATTACTGTACACTTTGTAACGTTAAGCTACAGTTGCCTGTTGCTTGTTTGACGGTCTAAATTTTTTTACCACTATACGATCATGGATGATTAATCTAGGATGAATAACCCTTCGTACATACCTTAGCATTGTTCGACACGCTCGGACCTCCACGCACAAATTCTGCCATTTTCGTTTTACACGCACCCCTTTCACACGTTTATGAAAAAAAAAAAGAAAATGAAAGTATTAATTGAACGGCATCCGTTTTATTGCAATCTCCCTTGCCACGATTATTTACAAACGTAGCTTGTTATTGATATAAAATGTATTGACGTTTCTCGGCAGCCATTTTACTATGCACGCGGCGGCCGTAGAGTATAGTCAAGAGACGGATTCTCCAGATCTCGTGGAATATTTTTAAATATTTTACTAAAAAATCACGACATCTTTTTAAAGTTACCGGTTTACCGGCTACGATTCAAGGATTGACTGTCCGTATATCAAACACGGTCACGTTGTCTTAAATCCAATTTTATAAATAATCCACCATTAACAATGCACTTATGGACAGAATGTAAATGCTTTACACGATACGATTGTAGCCGTTATCGAACGTTGCTGATAATTTTTTTAAGTGGCATCATTATTTAGAAAGAATATTGTACACAATAAATGTCAATCAATCATCAAAGGAGACAACATCGAGCATTTGAACTTCTGCCTTTATACTACAAACGCTAGTTCTTTTTTCAACTTTTTCGCCTGTTGCAAACGCGCCCATTGCAAATTGCAATGGACGACACTTCTGCTGATTTCTGCTGTGGCGTATTAAAACTCGTTGACGTTTACGTGCGATTCGATTCTCCAAAGTATTTATTAAATTTTTCCATTTGTCATCACTAACTCGTAATGGTGAGATCATAGTTTCTGTAATTCTTAAGTTACAATTCAAGTAAAAGGATGTATAATAAACAATAAGCGGTAATTGCACTATAACCTAGGTATGCGTTGATTCAAACAGTTCTAAAAGTCTATTCTGGGTGGCATGTAGTCTGCCCTGTTTAATTTCCAGAGTTTGCTAACGGTATTCCTGTTACTGATATGTACTTGCGCTTATGTCAAAGCTCTGGCACCTAGTTTCATGGACAATCGAGTGAAAAGAGTTGGGTAAGAGTACTTGATAATTCATGAATACTAGCGTACGCTTTATTAATTCTATAATTGTAATAATATTTAATTTTTCAGTCTCCAGGGTACATTTTGGAAGTGTGCCAGAATTGGTGAAAGGAAAAGTCCATATGTGGCAGCTAGTTGTGTTTTAATGGCCTTTAATATTCTATTTTGGGGATAAAATGCATGTGCAAACTGTGAAGGAGTAAGGATCATAGCGATCATTATATATAATCCTATTGCATGGTGGTTGTAAGGATCATGGATTTTAATAAGGACAAAACATAACGGGATTCATTTATGATAGATGGTTGTACAGATCCTTGTTCAATGGTTGAAGGAAGCAAACTGCATTTATGATAAACAGTTGTATAGATTCTTATTCGATAATTGAAGAAAGCAAACTTAATATATAAAAACAAAGAAACAGTAAACAGAAATTAACATTCGTGCTGCTTGCATGGTATGTTTTATTTGTCAACATGTCCTTTCCTCGAAAGCTATATAATTATCCGATTTGAGCACATTTTCTCTTCGTATTTCCATAATATATTTTTCTTCTATAAACAACAACATTCTTTTAATATAGTTATTGTAGAGTCGTTATATTGAGCAGTGTTTTATGATATACAATATCTGTTAAATAGATATATTTAACATGCGCGTTTTTATCGTTTGCTTCTCGGATATGCTACTACTCCGAAGACAGTAAACCACGCACTGCCACTAAAACCTGTACTTCTCTGTAATAGAAGACATTCATGACAAAAATGTATAATATCAGTAGAAAGCTTCGACTTCCTCCGTTTAAAAATTTAACTTAGCGAGGATCGCCAAGCTTTTCTACTAGCACCATTTTGCACACTGATCCTAATTACAGAGCGAGATATGGTTGCGGTTTTGCGAGGAACATTAAACAAAATTCGATAGAAACCGCAATTTATTAGGAACGCTAATTGTAAACTGAAACTATCGTCGGGTGTTGTTTGTTTTGCAAACGATTGTTATACTAAAATATCAATGTACGCTGTTCGTTTATGTACAAATAAATAGACGAATTAAATACTAAGTAAAAGTTTTACATATAAAACGAGTAAATAACGATTTATTTCATGTGGAGGTGTTGGCACGCTCGATAAAATCCTGCGATCTAAAACAATAATTACGCTTGATTTAACTTAATCGAATTATTATGAACGACAGCTGATTTCCTCGCAGTTAACCACGCGGGATTACCTTTTATATCGTGGTCTCGTTTAATTATTGGCATATGAGGTACGTTATTCGCCTACGGGTAATTAAAAAAATACATAAAATAATAAAAGTAGGGTCTAGTATCTTCCTAAAATATACAGTTACGGTACTAATACGTCCTAGAGATATGAATCTGACTTAGATATGATTCGTTTACATTCGTTAAGATGCCACTTACGATCCCGGTTCCCTCCCTTTATCGTACCGTTGAACAAACATATCTTTATTATCCCTTACGTACAAATTAGTATGCTAATTATTTGTCTGCGTTCGAGTGTAATCGAATAGTTTGCTTATGACGGGGGGGTCGATTCGCGACGGGGCGAATCCCATGGAAAACGGTAGACACTTAATTAATCGTTGACAATAATTATATCACGTAACGATATTACATATACACGTAACGGTTGTTCATTCGAACTGGATCGCCACTGCCATTTGCTGAAATAATTCGAAAATGCGCGCGAGTAAATCGGTCGACGGGTATTTTCCATTTTCCATGTTTTCGTGTTCGTTTCTTTTGTTATTCCTCATATTTCCGAACGATTCTCTCGTGAATGACACTGGTGGCCCACTCTGAGATAGACACCCTGCATCGTGGTAAGGCTTTCGACGCTAAACGTTATCAAAAATCACATCGTAACCATCTAGTAACCCCACAAAACGAGTAAATCAGCGTTTTTTTTCTTCTTTTTATCGATCGAGAATCCCCTTGCTTTCCTTTCTCAATTCGTTCGTACGTTAAAAAAATATTCGACAACGTTACAACACACTCGGTCGACCCCAATAAGAACACATTTCGCTCACGAACTGTTTTCATCTTCTTTCCTCCGCGTTCAAAAAGCGGATAAAAGGCTCATAAAAAATACCTTCCGTAAGCGTTTCTTCTTCTTCTTCTTTTCTTTATCTCTTACAATTTTCAACAGTTTTTTTTCCCTTGTCACTTCGTAGACCGCGCGCGCTGAGGCCCGCCGGCCGGTGACGCAAAGAGATCGATTAGTTCGCTGTATCGTCGCCTGTTGTTAGCTTGGCGCTTCGTCATCGTTGGAACGCAATAAGAACTTGGCCCTCTCTCGGGTAAGTTCAATTAAAACTTCGGAGTTCGCGATTCCTTCTCTCCCTCCCGATCGTTTTGTTTGAAACTGTCGTTGGGAAGCTCGGTGGCTGATGCTCGACCATCCCTCGTTTCGATCGCGAGACCACCATTGTATAACCTAACCTTTCGTCGGTTTCGAAAGAGAGCTTGGGAAAAAAAGTTTCTCGAGGCGTTTCGTCGCGTGACAGATGGGGGTGGCGGCCCTCGAGTTTATCGTAGACCGAAGAAAAGTAACGTGCAGATGAACACGTGGATTCGTGTGGCGGCGGGTCGCGGGTACGCTTGACTGCTCGCGTTCGATCTCTCGTGACTCTTGAACACGTTCTCGTCCTTGATGAACGGGGCACGCGGGTCCGGTGTCGTCGAGGTGATCTGGTAGTTGCTGTAAACGATCTTAGCGGTGCTTTTCTGCATCGCTGGCGTGCTCATCTGATGGAAAACCCGGTTGATCGTCGTCGCTTGCGTCAACTTCGTTCTCCCTTTGCTCAATTTTTTCCAGTTGGCCGATGTGGCCCGCGTGGGCGGTGTTGCTCTTTCGATCTCTGCAACAAGAATTCGTCACGATATTCGTTTCATCGTGGAAAATCTACAGAGGAATGATCTGTAATCTCACGGTAGACGGATTTATATTAGACGCCAAATGAGACGATAACTGCGAAATTACGAATTTCAGTCTTGTTTGCGGATATTCCTCTCAGGCAGCCGTACATGTGAGAGTTTCTCGCGCGAGTTCCGCTCGAGAGTACTTTCACGTTGTGTATCCATTTAGCAGTAACTTCCAAGAGTTTTTATTTCCAGATAGTCGTTAGGACGCTTGCCGAGAGTTCACTGTCTGAGAGAACTCTCAGAATCGTATCCACTAGACTAGAGATTCGTGCGTACCTGTCTGTTCTGCAGTTTGTTTTGAACTAAGCGTGACCTGATGTAGTGATTATATGGACGTGGTAATTATAGTATGAAATTTTCTTCGTAAACTTATGTTTCTCGCGCGATAGTTTTCGCAGGTAGGGATGATCCGATCCAAGTAAATAATCGATACTTTCGTTTCGATAGCAAGTATTTTTAGTATCGATACATTCGGTTGCGATATATACTCGGTATCGAAAAAAAGTACTGATATCGAATGAAATACGACAGCTGATGAATGTGACGGTGGTTATCGTCCAGTTATATTACTTTGTTAATAAATGGTCGTTAGTAAAATATGTCTTTATTAATAAAATATATATCACCGTTAAAATCAGAGATGGACAAATTTATTATCTGTATAAAGAATTTCCAATAACGAATAAAAGATGCAAAAAGTACGTCGTTGTTTTCAATCGTTCAAACGTGGAAATTTCAATTTTCTTTTTAGTATATATTATTTGATTAAAATTCTTTTGAACTCTGATTAAAGTGTATTATATTGATAAACCATGAACTTTATATTCAGTTTCCTACGATACAAATAAGTATCGATCTAAGTAGATATCGATACTTTCTTTTGATACAAGTTATGAGTAAATGTATCGATACCTTGACGGCATCGGTTCATCTCTACTCGCAAGAATACGAAATTGTTCAATTCATAAGTCTTGAGAAATACTTCATTATGTCACGAAAACACCGGAACCAAGTTCAGAAAGCACCAAAGGAGGGGAATCAGAGGTTCGAGAGACCTTTCGTGCTTATTCCAGAAGCACGAAACAGTTATGATCACACTTGGCGTTTCCTCTACACGTGATCATGCCCGACGAAATTCGCTGTGTATATATGAGGGGGTTAGTCCGATTCCGCGTCGTAGTGACACGAGGAATACGGAATCGGACCGGATATATCCGAGCGTCAGGAACTCCGGTATGTAAGTGGAACGGGGAATTGGAATGGACGTCTACGTTTCGAAAAATGACATGTGTGTTCGGCCGTACGACAGGATACGTCGACTTACCGTATACCCTTAGGGTAGCATCGGCTCCCCCCCTGCTGGAGGACGCGGAACACGTGTACTCTCCTAAATCCGTTTTCTCCAACCGCTTTATCTTCAGCTCGATCGTTGTCTTCCATTCCTCGTCCGGATGTCCCCGTTCGTTGATCTCGTATCTACCGCTGCGTTGACACATCGCTTAAGCTTTATCGGCCGGAATACACGTACGTATATGGGGGCCTATCGATTCGGTTTCCTCGGCCGATTTAGCACGCGGCGGCGAGCACAGAGCCCGAGAGGGACACGGTATGTGGTTTTCGACGTGTGGCGGGAACCGGTGAAACCGAACAGAGGCAAAACGAAAGGAGGAGGAGGTAACACTGGGTATGTATTATACGTACCCGGTCATGATGACTTGACCTTTCCTAGTCCACAGGTTGATCGTCTTTGGATACGCTTCGATCGAGCAGAGCAGGGACACGTCTGTCTCCAGCGGTGAACCTAACAGTTGATTCGATACCTTCGCGCTCGGTGGAACTAAAAATGTGTTTCGCCAGAATTACAGAATTTAACTTCGAGCCGTGGTACATAATCTCGAGGAGGGTTCTTTGACGCGAGTTTTCCGCTAATGGGTTCACGGCTTTGGGTATACCCTTTTAAAACCCGTAACGGATAAATAGTGTCGGGGCGAGCCGATAAACGGTTGCTTAATTACCAACCGTGGGAGGGGAAACGGGAGAAACATTTTATTTAAGTTTCGGGGGGAACTCTGTAATCGACCGATTCGAATGTACTCACAATTTACCCTCAGGTAGACCCTCTTGCTGACTGCCGGAGGCACTTCGTTTCTGGCTATGCAAAGATAAGCTCCCATTTGCCTCCTGTCTACCCTGGTTAATTCCAGTTTCTCGCCGGACGGGCTGTCCACTATAAAATCGTGCATCGTATGAATATCCTCGTTGAAAGCTCTCGTATACATATCGCTGGCCGGCCGCCAGCGATAGTGCGTACACCAAATTACACGCAAAACACGTCCCCACCCCTCCACTCGCGTTCAAACAACAAGGCCCCGGCCCCCTAATGCAGCCCTAAATTTCACCTTCGTGAATCGTTCCGTGCGTCTCGTTAATGCCCTCTCCCCCCCCCCTTTCCGTTAACCGATTCAAGAAACGACTATATTGTAAAATGAGCATTTACATTGCTATTGTGCAAATCAAAATTATGTTACTTTTGGCCACTGTGTAAAAAAGGGAAAGCGAAATGTGAATGAAGGACACAATATCTAAACTAATACAGGTGCCCCGTTAGGTTAGAATGTATTGTATTCGTTTGGATACAAAATGGTGCTTAAGGGTGGATTCTCATGTAAGAGCTATAAAAGTAGGTGATATTTGCGTATTTTTGTTTGTGATAATATTAGAGTAAACGATCTTCAAATATAAGAAGCCATTCTTAAATTGTAAAAAAAATTTCTTTCAATTCTTATTGTTTATTGGATATTGTGCAAGTCTTGTAATCCTCTTCCACGATGCGACCATTGTTGGCGTGCAGTATTGCATCTGTTACAGTCATTGGATTGCAAAAGCTAAGAAATTTTGTTAAAGTTACATAGTTAATGCTGGGATTGGGTACCTATTTTGAAAGAAAATTGCGAAAAATTTGAAAAGTAATCTATACCCCCTTAACTTGTTAAATGATAAACTCGATGGAAAAATCTCTCGGGAGTGGTCGCCATTGAGTGACTGAACGATTGATCGCGCGTAAACGAAGCGATTCGACTCGACGAACACGTCGGGGTACTTGTCGTTTGATGAGGGAACGCATGGGCGTAGAAGAGCGTTAGTTACATACAGGGTGTCTCAGCTAACTTGATCACCTCGAATAATGACTTGAAAATATGGACTTTATGAAAATTTTGAGGTGTGGAATTTAAATGGCATTAAGGTGTACATCTTATAAGGTACATGCTTTTTTTTAGGGTAGAGGCATTTCAGAGATTTTAAGGTCACCTTGATTTTTTTTAACGGAATGATCTATTTTTTATACGTCGTAAACCTAATAGTTAACGAGATATTTAGAAAATAATCACTCTATTGAAATTGCTTTATTAAAGTTGATTGATTCTTAAAAAAAAATCAGGGTGACCTCGAAATCTCTGAAATACCTCCACCCACAAAATAGCACGTACTTTATAAGACGTGCCTCTTGATGCAATTTAAGTTCCACGCCTAAAAATTGTCATAAACTGTACCGTTATATCTTTATTCGATCAAGTTAACTGAGACACCCTGTATATACGTCGCACGTTACCGTCTCGTTCGCGAGTACGCGTCGTTTTCCCGTGGGATATCGTTGGAACACATGAAAACGATGAATTACATTATCATCGAACAGATTTGTACGGGCATAAATCATCGTTTCGCGATCCGGATCGAAACGGTGTCGTTTGCCTAATGAGATCCATCACGGAACGATTCATTATTCGTTCGCGTTTCGACAGCTCGCGGCCCGTGGACCGACAGACTTCTGTTACAACGACGACGACGACGACGGGACTGGGCTGAAAATATTGCGTATCGATTCATCAATAACGAGACAGAGCAGCGAAATACTCCTCCCCCCTCCCCTTTCCACCAACCGTTCGTTCCATTAATATTTCGGCCGATTAACGAATTTGACGGGCACTCGCGCGAAAAGTGCATCCGGCGTTGAACGTCAGTGCCCTGTGAAATTGTCAACGCGGCTACCTGGAAGAATGCCGGCATCGCCGCCGTGGCGCGCCGATCGTTTTGGTGCTTTCGGTGGAAATCGGTGTGGGGCAAATTGCGCGTGGCCGAAAGATATTGAAAGTCGTCGCCTGGGGACCAACTAATCCCTATTCGATGGTACGTGTTCCACCGTAATTGCTTTCGATCGGCATCGCGCCTCGGTCTCGACCCCGCGAATTTACGACACCTTCATGTTCCGCTAAGCGGATCGTGATGGCGGAATCGTCTCTCCGTCCAGACACCTTCGGGATAATTAGTTCTCTGAAAACGGCGCGGAACCACTGCGAAATTTTCCGTTTTCCGAATTCTAATTACCGTTTGATCTGGCTTTTATGGTTTCGTTAGACGGCGATACAGACTTTGGGCATGCTGTTTCCACTAGGGGAAAATGTGGCGTGGGGGAAGGGCCTTTTATCACTTGGGATCGCGAATTGCTTGAATTTATGACAAATTAATATTCGGTTTAATATTTGTTTCGGTACTTGAAATAAATTTACCAAGTGGTAGGAGACTCTTCTTCTACGTCATTTTTTCCCTAGCGGAAGCGGAGTTTACTCGTGAGGGTACACTAATGAACAAAGTCGGCTTCCACTAGGGGAAAATGTGGCTTAGGGGAAGGGCCTTCTACCACTTGGTAAATTCATTTCAAGTACTGAAATAAATGTCAATTCGAATGTTAATGTGGTACCAATTTCAGTGATTCCCGATGTGAAGTGGTACGAGGTCTTTCGCCATTTTCTCCTCTAGTGGAAGCCGAGTTTGCTCGTCGGTGTACACTCCCTGTTTCAAATAGTTTCGAGATATTGCACTTACATATAGGTAACTGATCAAAGTAAAAAAAAGTTGTCAAATAGCAAAAAATGAAAAATGGCATTAGACGGTTTCAAAATGTTGTTAAAATGTTGTGAATCATTTATGTGTCATGTAATATACAAAAAAAAAATACAACAAAATATTTCTTTGGTAATCTTTAAATAATTCGGGAATGAAAAGGTTAACCTTGAAAGCTCTAGAACTGTAGTACAGTAAAAAACAATTCGTCTCTGAGACGAGTGGTCTGTAGCTAAGGGTTAACTCTTGAAAGGCGGATGTTTTTGACGATCGAATAGACGGCGGTTCCTGGGTCTACACAAGAGACCCCTACTCATATCTCTTCAGATATATTTTCGAACAAATTTTTTAAAAATACCATGCTCATCTTATAAAATATTAATACAAACAACTGTACGGTTCAATTAATTTCCATAATCTGGAATGATGCGTGAAGTTTCCAAATTTGACGATTGTCGTTAACATTTATAACTATATTTTCATTAAATACAACCCAAATCGTAAAAAACATTTTTTCTAACCTTATCAAATTTGTCCCTGAAGATGTTAAGAAACTTTGAACAGTAAACCGTTACCTATGAGTTGGAAGGATATTCGAGGAGAACTCGAGAACGGGTTCAGAAAAGGGGCCTGGGTGGCGAGGAGGCGACGGTTTCGCGCGGTGTCGAGAATTAATAAAAAGAAAAGGAATCGGGCGTTGTTTGTCATCGACAAGGACCGTCGCCGAGAGTTCTCGAGCCGAGATAAAAGTGTAATATCTCACCTGGTATCAGCGGATCGTGAAGACCCCTCATAAGTATGAAACCACTTTTCTCCCGTCGCCAGAGCACACGAGGTGGCGGCCTTCCAGAGGCGTTGCACGAGAGGGTGGCATTCTCGCCCTCCAAGACGGAGACCTCACCCTCCGAGGTGCCGGAACTCAGTATATCCGGCGGAACTGAAAAGAAACTCGAGTCTCAATTTTCGTCCGTTTCACAACTAGCACGAAAAGTGTGCTCGTGGGAATTTAAGGGGCTATGCTAGTGTGACGACTATATAATAAGGCAATTTTTGGGGATTTTTTAAAGAAAAACTATTGAATTTATCAATTTGAATAATATATATATTTACTAAATAATATTTGTGAAGTATGCTATATTTTTATAAAGTAAAAACAATGTATTTTTTAAAAGTTACAGTTTGTTTGTGAGAGCGTCTTAACGAAACTTCATTTCCATGGTGGCCATAGTATAGACTGTTGTGGTTGTGTGAAATAAAAAAAAACAAATATTTTCTTAGTTTGTATGTGAACAGATATGCCAAGTTTGAACTAAATCGGTCAATTAGTTTTTAAGTTATCATGGCCGCCGATTAAGAAAAAGTAAAAAGAGAAATGTTTCATACTTACAGCTAATCACTTATTCCGAGCCATGTAAAACACCTTTCTCTTCCTCAAGAAATTGTTGCAAATTGCAAAAAAGAAAAATCCGATTTTCTGAAACCGTCAACTCTAGCATAGCCCCTTAAAACGTTCCAGAACTTGTTTGTCTCTATCTACAAGTGTGTTCAACGCGAGAAAAAATTCAAAAAGGAAATTAGAACCACCCTCGATGACTGCATGACAAAGTTCGTTACGTCCGAAAACCGACGGAACTTTCGAATTCAATTTGGTAACTCGGAACTTCGACTTCCTATGAAGAACCGCTGCGAGCGTATTTACACGGTTGCGACGGAATTTAGCGGGCGTCGCGACCCGAAGCTCCTATGGACCCGCCATAAAGATCCCAACGACCTCTGTGATCAAACGACCGGCACTAAAACCTCGGCATGGAAATTTGGCTGACTCGTCTGGGTGGTTACACGACTGATCCGGAATGAGATCAGTTTAAAATTGCTCCGCCCCTTCCCCCTTCCCTATCCGCGGAAAATTAACCCTCAAAGACACCATCACTGGGTTACGGTAACCTAGTCCGTCCGAAAGATACCTAAGATTTCTGAGTGCTAAAGGCATTTGGGAAGTTGGGACTGTGGTGTTTTATCAAAAAATTCGTAATTAAATTACGTAAGGTAAATGTCCCAATTACTGCCACTGTCTCTAATACTGTCACTTATTTATTTTACTTAGTGGAAACGGAACGTAGAAAGAATTGCGGACAAAAAGTTTTATTATTAACCCTTTCAGACCTGGTGGTCACATTTGTGTTCATGAAGTTTCTTACAATTTCACAAAAAGCCTTGGGTATAGTGTGTTGCAGTGACATATTTTTCTTATGAATTGGATGTTTTTCATGTTGTGAATGTTTTTGGTAAGTCTAGTGAATTCAGAATTGAACAAACGTTTTTTTGAAAAAATTAAAAAAAATTTTGTTTACACAAAATATCATCTGACCAGTCTACCGAGTTAAATATTTTTGTGATTGATGAGTTAAGTTATTTCTTCTGGCCCCCTGCTATAGCGACGCTCATATTAATTACGAAATCCCTTGAATTTTTCATTTCTGATCAGTCTGATCTCTGAAATGACCTGCGCCCTAGAGATACCTTTTCCCAGATGTCACTTTCATCCCAAGAAAAATCTCATAACAAAATACAATAAAATTGTTTCTGCGATTTCGTTTATATTATCTATAAATAGTTCAGTAAATACTAATAAAATGCATTTGATTACATATTCCATTTACCGAGGCAAAAATCCCTAAACACAACCCTTTTCAGCCATCAAAGTAGAACAACCCCTTAAACGCCATTTACCAAAAATCTCCCACCCTCGGCAGATGATATAAAAAAGAAGTACCACATTCTGTATGAAATCTGTTTTCTGTTCGAACCAAGGACTACCCACAACCCCGAAAATATCCATTTCAATTACACACACGGTATACACGCAACCTAACCAAGCAGCTATTCCGTACAGCGGTCCCAGGGTCGGGGTCTCTGTAAAAAGACGCGGAAACCGGGACCTTTACGTTAACCCTACAAAAGGAATTTCATTCCATTCGGGTCCGATCGGTCTTTCGAGTTGAATGGCAACACACCCGTATACCCTCCAGCACCCTCTCTCAATGAATTCCCTTTCCACACGTTCGATGTCCGCGTGGGCGTACCGCCGCCATACCAGCGTACAATGAATCGCGGTGTGGAGAGCGTACATTAGGGTTGTACAGAGAAACGCGGTAATATACGCGCCGTATGTATAATACAGTTGGCATAGAGGAGGTTGGCAGAGAGGGTTGAAGCGAATAGAAGGCGACCGAGCAACGGGTGAACGTTATCCCGCCACAGCGGTCCGTCCTGGCTGCCACGAGGCTGTTCCCATTGAAACGTATTCCAACGGCTGCGAGGCGAGCATATTTTCCAACCCCCACCCTTTTCTCGAGCTGGACCACCCACCCAACCCTCTAGCTAATCGAAACACCCCGGTGCGTGAGTGCGTATGCTGTGACGACGTCTCTACGAGCAGACCACAAACACCACTATGGGGGAGGGTAGGAGAGGTATCCTGGACCGTAGGAATGCGGTATATAACGCGCAATTAGGCATACCTAGGACATCCACGCATCCCAGCTGGCTGAACATGGGCTTGGTGTTCAATTGGCACATGTAGCAGCCACGGTCAGCTTCCCTTAGCTGGCGAATATGGAGTCGAGAAGTGGCCTCCTCCTCGTCCCTCGATTGGCTCTGATTCTTCGATTTCGCGTTCTCCAGGGTGACGAGGAACCGGGGCGAGTGGGTCACCTTTTGCTGACCCATCGACAATATCGTCTGATCCTCCATCCGTAGCCATCCCACCTGAGGACAATCGAACAAAGAGTCTGGAGTTTCGTTCTTTTCTTTTTTTTTTTTTTTTTTTTTTTTTTTTTTTTTTTTTTTTTTTTTTTTTTTTTTTTTTTTTTTTTTTTTTTTTTTTTTTTTTTTTTTTTTTTTTTTTTTTTTTATGAAAATCACAGAATCCCTCTCAACCTTTTGTTTCGGTCGGTATGAACTCGGGAGGTGATGATTCGAGTCAGCGATTACTGAATTGGTCTTGTGGGATATTCGTGTTGTTAGTGCTAATTCAGAGATTCGAGGCTTTCACGATTATTATTTCTAACTTGCCTGTCTTCAGAAGATTGGAATTTATAAGTTTTTTTAATACATATTTTCTAATAATAAATTAATATTATTTAAAAAATAAATCACTTGTTTTCATTTCGATACTTGGAATCTTAATTGAAATAGAAACTTAATTATTATTTAAATTAAATTAAAAACTTTTATTTTAGAAAATCCTTTTTATCCAAAATGATATTCTCTTAAATATATGCAGCTTACTTTTTCACTGGTGAATTTATAAGATTTTCGTGTCGATATTATGGATATCTTTTTGAACAATATTTTCCATGTATCTTCCATGTATTGGAGGACCCGGAAATGGGAGACAAGTTTCTCCTTAGCAAAAATGTTATTCGAGGCTTCGTTAACGAGATATTAGCGAAAAACACTGACCAATCAGAGCGCGAGTCTGCCGGTCGAGTTCCCGTGGCAACGTTGGCTACGCGCTGCGATTGCCGGTAGACTCGCGCTCTGATTGGCCGGGGTTTTTCGCTAATATCTCGTTAACCAAGCCTCGGATAACATTTTTGCTAAGGAAAAACTTGTTTCAAATCACTCCACGAGTTTCCTATTTCCGGGTCTTCCAACATTTTTGTTACACCCTGTATATCGACATGTATTATATCGATATTGGAACAAATATCTCACATCTCTAGATTGTACATCCTTTGCTCCTCGTGTCTCGTCTCAAGAGCTCGTCAAAACCGTCAATATCCTTTTCTGTTTCTGTTCGTCAAAAATGATTTCGAAGGAACCCTACTCGTGTTACAACCTCGCATGTCTATGCTTCAATTCCCGTAATATTATCACCGACACGCCGTCGCATACGCGAAATACACATATCCCACGTTCCGGCACGCGACGGGGCTAATTGCATCGATGTTTCTCATTCGAATATGCGTAATATTGTGTCGTATATGGATATTCCAACAACGGAATGTGCGGGGGGAGTTGATTAAATGCCGGGTGAACGAGTGGGTTGGGAAGACAGGCGCCGAACGGAAATTGTATAACGACAGTCGACGATTCCTCGCTCTGGTTGCTCCTCTTTCTTTTTTTTCTATTCAACATAAAATATAACATACTTTACAAACATTATTTAGTAAATATATATATTATTCAAATTCATAAGTTCGATAGTTCTTCTTTAAAAAATTTCCAAAAAATTGCCTTATTATATAGTCGTCACACTAGCATAGCCCCTTAAATTAAACTGAGATAAGATGTCATTGTACATGTGACAACCATAGGGCGTAGATGTAGCAAGTGTTGCTTTCTATATCGTGTGCTCGTAATCTTTGTGTCCTGTCGCGTGTTTACGCGTGCCCCTCGGCCGTTATACACCGTCGTCAGTCTTCGACCGTGTACTACAGCCACACCGGCAGTAATTGCTTTTAGCCTCGAACCTCTGGCTATGCGTCCGGCCTGTTCGGGGCACCGCAGGAATCAACCCAACGAAAGGTTCAATTTAACGTCGTATCGAGGAGAGAGACGACCTTTGCCCCCCCCCCCCCCCGCCCTCGGACGGCGCACTCCCGCATTTCCTACACGCGTTATCTATAACGCTGCACTTGGTAATTAATCCGAGAAGCGAACTGATCCTGCCATGTCGTCCAGTCCGTGCGCAAGAGGAGCCCCTATGTCCACCGTATATCGCCCGTATGCTTCGAGTTGGACAATATACATACAGTGGGTCAAAAAAGTATTCGTACACCCTTTAAAACGGAACAACTCTTTCAAAATTGGACCAAGCGACTTGAGTTCCTTTGTGAAGTTAGAAGGATTAGTTTACTAAATGATGTGTTAACAAAATTTGGAAAAATTTGCGAGTTTTTAAAATTTAATAAATACATTCCGAAGATTTATACCTGTTATATACATGCTGCAACTTTTATTGAAATCAGTTAATACAGAAATGAGTAACAGGCATCGAAATATGTTAGAATTTTTAGATACACTACAATTGTCGGTCAATAGTCGCGAAAAACTGCGATTTCCAACATTTTTAACCGTTTGTACTCGTTAAATTTTCATTACAATCTCAGATAAAAAAGTCGTAAAAAGCTAGGACCTCTGCTTGTGAGTGACGAGGAGCCTTCGAACACTCATCGAGGATTTACTGTAGTATGGATAAAGCAGAAGTATTTAACGTAGAAGTCCTTCCGAGCAGTTATTGAGAATTTACTGTATTTTAGAGGGTACATAAAAATGTATGACACTTTCACAGGGTGGATACATGTCAAATTAAAGACAAAAATCGATAATTACGAAATTACGTTTGTGGCTTCGTTTCGTACACCGTGGAACGACGAGATTTCTTTAGAAAAATCGGTTCTTAACTAGACAGATTCCACCAATGAGCAACGGTTAAGAAAAATCGTTGCTTCCCCCACGAGGACTCGGCGAGCCAAAAGCGATTTTCTTGGAACGCTTTCCTCGATCGGTAGTCGCGTGGCAAATGGAAATACCTGTCCAGGTTCACCCAGTGACTGGAAGAATGAGGTATCGCTTCCCTAGCTTCCGATCACTTCGAACGAGAGAAAAGAACAAAACGGGTGGCAGAGAACGAAGGGGGTCGCCGTTTGAATTCATGCGTTCGCCTGGGGAACAATCGATAATGTTTTAAGTGCTTTGTCACAGAGGAACAACAGTTTGTCCCGCGCAGAACCGGGAACGGAAACTATTACGTCGCCTGCAGAGTCGTTATCCCGACGACAAAGATAACGATTCGTTCGATCTCTTATTCCAGGATAATGCCTCGACTATCTCGCCCGGAACGAATTCCTTATCGGATGAAAAAAAAAAATAAAAAAAAAAAAAACAGTTCGTCGATCCCGATTGGACGTCCTCGATCCGTTGTGTTTTGCATAATTTCAAGCCATAAACGGTTATACCGGATTCAAGACATTTTCTCCGAAATTCTGTTCCCAAGAAGGAAGTCTTCCAGCCGACATTTTGGTCTATCGGACAACGCCAGGGACATGTTATCGTGTGGATACACGCTGGGCAAACCGGGTGAGACACTGTTTTTCGACGACACACCCGTGAATCACCTGTTGGCGTCGACGTACAGCTAGGGATGCATCGATACTTATCGTTTATCAATCCGATAGAAATCGATATATGTTATCATCGATAGTTCTAGTGTTAAATTAATAAGGGCGGCGACACTGTTCTTGCACCCGGCCGGCCACTAACCCAGGTACGGCCCTGCATATAGCGATACATACAGCGACACATTATTGCCCCGGTTTCGCTAGTAAGGAATAGAATACTGAAATGGCACAGGGGCTTCTGACGCCCCGAAGCATAGGACAGAAAATTACATTGCATGCTAGGTCTATTCTTATATCTCGTTTGTGACCATACTACACCAGTTACGCGGTTTGCGTGCAGGCTCGTTAAATCGCATCATCCGTGACGGGGGTACGGGTCTGCTGGTACCCCGAGCACGTTTCACCTCGGCGTCTCTCCTTAACGCCGGAAAACGAACCGCGAGATTTCGCCGGAGGATAATCCTGGGACAGGTTCGACGAGCTGACACACATTACCCGGGGAGTTACGTAATTCCCTGGTGGGCGCAGAGCCTCCTTCCCCCCTCCCCCTCACCACCAGTGTAATATTTCGAGAGACCCTGGGCCACGAATCTACGTTAGCGCTAAGAGATTGCTCCCCATACCCATCTTCCTGGGCCAGCTTCCCTCCTCCATCCCTCTTCCTCTTCCGTTCCATTGTAATCATGGAAACAATCATTCTTCTCTCTCCTTCCCTCCACTGCCAGTTCGTTCTAACCCCGAACGATCTCGACTTCGTCCATCTCTCTCGGTGCCTTTCCCAAAACTTGCCCCCCACCATCACGTCCGTTTCTCCGCGCCGCTATCTATATCCGTCCATCTTTCTCGTCCTCTTTTCGCCCCCATCATGGATTTCCCAGCTAAAATCCTCTGTCTTCGTCGTTCCTGAAGACTAGGTACATACATACCGCGGCCCAGCTTCCGTCGAGGGGTGCTGCTGGTAGCGTAACGGTGGTGTGGCGGGCAGCTACCCTTTCGCTCGCCTCCGCAGCAATCACCGATTTGTCTGAATAAGCCCCGGGCAAGTATATGCTCGTGCTTACCCCGGGGAAACACCACTCCGGCCAACTCACACCCGTCGTCTCTTCTCAATCCACCCCCTCGTCCCCCCAGTTGGTTGGTTCGCCCCCGACGGCACTCTCCCTCGGCATCAGCCTCCCCCCCCCCTCTTGTACAGTTCTCTATTCTGGTACCTCACACTCTGGATCGGCCTCTGGCAGCGACTCTCCATACCCCCGAAAATACTACTCTCTCGGTTCATCGATGCTCGACGAGAAGCAAGAGCCAGGGGGTGGAGGGGGGTCGATCAGAAGGAACGGAGTTGCCAAAGTCGTGCCAGACGACGGGACTACGGCGTTAATCAGCGAAAGGCGTAAGTGAATCGACACGAAACACTCGGATAAAGGGGGACGAAGATGACGGAAGTCGAGGGATCGAGTTCATCGGTGTCTCGATCCGCGAAACGCGAGCGATAACGACGGTTTCGAGGAAATCGTGTGCAACCGAGGACATCGAACGGGAATCCATTAATCGGAGGTCATATCGGTTGATGGAAAATTTATTGGAAGTTTACTCGTTTGGGGATGGAGGATAGAGAGTGAAGCTAAGTAGGATAAAGACTTG